GTGAAGGAATAGGGGACTCCCGATGGAAGACCGGTGACCGTTTCTTCAGGTAATGCAAGTTATTTTATGTTGCTAATTTGGTACTACCGTCGCGAAAAAATGGAACATATTTTATGTAAGTGGTTTACACTCACTAATATTGATTCCTACAATGAATTTGTTTTGCGACCACAGACTAGCGAGAATAGAACGCTCCTCCCGACACGTCAGACTGTCCCGTAACGCATAAATTCGCTTCACAGCTGCGCTGTCTAGAAAACTCTATTATTAGCACAAATGACAGTGAAAGTCTATTAAGGGCAGACATTATCGATTGCGTGTCCATAACCACAACGCAGACAAACAGAACGTCAGTACGAGTCTTGGTTTATAACACTATAACTCTTTAAAGCGGAATGGTAAACATGTGTACCAGATACTTTAACCCTCAGTGAATATGTAAGTAATTATGGTTTCAATTGTAAAATGGATTATTTACTCAAGCAACATCAACCAGATCAGATGATCTTTCTAATACAAAAAGTTTTGAAAATGACCTATGTGTACGCCATTTTATACAATTGTTTACTCTTTTGACTCGTACATAGAAATGCGAGTATTTATCTTATAAATTATGGTACTTGAAACAATTGGTTTCGTTAAATAACCGCAAAACACAATACAAAAGTTAACTTGAATTATTATTTGAATTTTAAATAAGAGGGGTCCACTGTTCTGTCAATAGTCTTCGAGGTGTCTAGATCTAGAACGTGCAGCGTGAAGCGTGTGTGATGGGTGTTTATTCGTGAAGTTCCACTGCCAACACGCAGACGTAAAGGGTGAATTAAAGCATCAAAGAATCCCGATATCACCCACAGCTTTGGCCAGACATCCTTCGACATTTATAATCGCAGAATGGAGAGCAATTGTTCCACGCGGTCGTACCGACCGTCAACTGTTTAGATAACACACACGCCGTTTCTAAATCTAACATGGCTAGCAGCGAAGCAGAAAAACATGCTCAAAGATTTGAAAACTGCAGCGGATTTGTACAGAGTGCATTATTTTCAATTCTGTAACTATAGGCTAGCGTGATGTGGAGATTCTCTTGTTATGTTAAAGTTTCTGGAGATTATTTTGTGTCTTCAGGTGACGTCAGGTATGACTTACCGGAAATGAAATTTCTGGTTTTTACGTAAAGCAGAACAGGTAATCGTAGTTCATGTAAGAGATCACATCTTCTCGGCGATTCTGATAAAGGCGTATTAATTCAATGGTTAACCCTTTTAAAGTCCAGTGGTAATTATATGTGCCACCTGCTTTAAAACCAGGATTGTGTGTCCACAGAGTTCATTTTTGAATTTCACACGAATAAACAGGAAATATTTCCAAAACAACACTGATTTACACATTTCTAATGGAGAAGTGTTTTGTTCAAGCCAGGGACTAAATATTTTATAAATTGTGTTGCAACAGTATTAATAAAGGTTTGGAACACACAATACAACAGTGAAACATCAAATTTAAACTCTGTTCCCACTTTAATACGACTTTGTACTTGCCATTCTGCTGTAAGAAAGTGAGACTTTGTGTTAATTGCACTTACGAACTTCCCTTCCTGCAGCCCTTATTGTCACATCACTTAACTGAGCTTCGTACAGGTGGCGGGAACAGGGAGGTTAGTGTACGCTGTACGCATGCGCTGCTCGGTACTACCTTTAAAAATAAAATGTCGTCTGTGTGCACACACTATCAGCAGCGTGCAAACATCATTACTGCAACGTTTCAGAGGTCATACTGCCTCTGTTTTCTGGGCGATCGCTCTGATTACGGAGGCAGAAACCACGTTTGAAACGTCGGTAACGTCTACCTGATTACAGAGCAGATCAACCCAGAGGACAGCCGTCGTCTGCTGATTGTAACCTCGGGATTTCTGTTCTCGTTCACTGTTCCTTTAGGCTATACATGTTTATATCCATCCCTTAGACGTCGTAAATGAAGTCTCGGTCCATGAGCAGGGATAATGAGAGAATTTATCTTCAGGTATCTTCGAAACGTCAGTGTAGAGGGCGAGTCTGGAAAGCCAAACGTCGAATTTACACAAGATGGAGTACTCAAGGCTGCAGAGCTCAAGATTATGAACCTGAGACCTGGTGTCAGCAAACAGTACGTTTGGGAAGAGGTAAGTGCATTTCTTCAGTACTGATTTCAAACCGCTGAGAATTTGTAGTCATGAAGTCCTTTCATACATAAATTTCTACTGAGTTTTCTTTTCGCTTTTGTTTCCCCGTGTCCGTAGCTAAGAATCAAAATTAACTGTCTGAGAAATCGTTAGTCGTATTTATTTTCGAGTTTGTCTGAAGTTTGTGGGAAAGGTAAAATCTGTTCCTATCCGATACCTGGTATAGGATGAGCACTGAAAGAAATAATCGGTGATTCCTTTAAATAAAATATGGGACCATACTGAATATTTGTTTGATATATGCAAAAACAAAATTGGAACACATCAGATGTGTCCGGTATAATGTAAAGCTGTTTGTATGTCTCAAAGACTTTATGAAACTTTAATGTGTCTGTCATATATTGTTATAGAGTCGTAAATAAATTAAATCTGGAAGATGAGTTTGAAACTAATATACGCTACTCTGAGTGGTGGACACCAGAGAGAGATGTTTGCTACCCATTTTCCGAATGCGATCTTTAAGACTAGTAGGAAGATTGTGAACAAAATTGTGAGGAGAAGTCATAAAATATTAAATGGGAGATGATTGAAGAAAGCAGTGATTATCAAATTAAATGGAGACTCCTTGAATCCAGTTTAACTAATAGCACAATTTAAGCTAATGACATAATTCTAATGTTCCATTCACTTATGGCCTCTCCTTGCATATTAGAAGCCGTTTTGTGCGTATTTAATCTCGAGCACAAAAAAATCAGGTAGGAAACCGTAGTAGCATCGTTTGATTAATTTCCGAGAATTTCACGACAAAAATTTATTCCACCATTCTCACAGAGAGGGATTTCATTTTTTATTCTTTTCCGTTAGGAAGTAGTTTTATTTAGTGTATTACTTTTTCATTTTAAAGTTTTCTAGTTTTGTTTCTTATACATACAGACACGGGCTGCAGACAGAACACAAGGAGAAGCAATGTTTAGGAGACTAAAACATTGGGTTGCTAGGATACCTTTGAAGCTTGTATATCCTATATTGGAATATTTTCATTTAAACGAACACAATAAATGAGAGAACAGAGAACAATAAATTTCTTAATTGACTCTAAAGACCTGTGTGCAAATTAATAACGTTCGAACGCCGTTTGAAAATTTTATTTTATTTTTGTTATAATTTCTCACGTAATTTTCTCATGTTATTAAGCTATTTACATTACATTAAATTAATTATTTCCGTGAATTTATTTATAAATTTAGTATACAGGAAAATATTGTGTGCTGTTTTTAAAAAAAGAATCGATACAACCTCGATATGGCCTTTGCATTATACTTTCCTTTATGTACGTTGTACGCACAAAAAAGAAACAAAAACCACTATATAACAATTTTTTACGTAAATAGCTGATGCTCCCTATTTAAATGTATTGTACGCAGCACCAGAGTAATGTAACCAGAACGATGCGACGTCTAAAAGGGAGAGCTTAGTTCTTGTGGACATGTAAGTTCAATTTACATCACTGTGGATTTTTCCTTCTTCTGCACGAAATTCTTTCACTGGATTTAAACGTATTCAGTGGCAGAATAATGAGATTCAGCTGTCACAGTGCACGGCAATTCCTTTTGAGACCTTTTGCCGGAATACAAGCGTAAGAACTCTGCTCTTTACACAAAAGCAGGATCTGCTTTGCTATAAAATAAGATTACGAGAAACGATAACAGTTGCTTGTAAGAAAATTAAAGTAAGAAGGAAGAAAAAAGTAGTGCGTTCACTGAAGTTTTAAGTATCCGATCCCTCACCCTATCACATAACATGTTATGAAGTCACTTCTTTATTTGTAATCCTCGCCAAGAGACGGTGGGTGAAGTGAACGCGTTTGTAGCACACGTGAGAGAGACGAACTTTTTACGGAAAGCCTGAAGGAAAGACACGACTTTGAAGACTTACTTATAGATTGCAGGAACACAAAAAAATACTTTAAATGTAGGTACCGGGTGTTAGTACGTAAACTGGATCCACGTGGCTGAGGATAGCGATCAATGTTTGACTCTTACCAGCATTCAAACGAACATTAGATTTCTAGTCTCACGTTGGTGTTCCGCTGTGCAGTCTGCGATTAGTTAAGCCGGGCGCTGCTTACTCATCACCCTGATGATAAGGACAGCAAGAACATATGAAACGTCGGTAAACGTCTACACGACTCGCAGAATTCCAGAAAATACGACTTTATTGTAATGAACTTTGAAGATTTCTGTCTTCTGGGTTGTGGCGCTGTGTAGTCTGGTCGATGAATCGCCCTGATGACGGAGGCAGTATGACCTCTGAAACGTTGGCTAACATCGACCAGACTACATAGCGCAACAACCCAGAAGACAGAATCTTCTATCGCCCTGATGACGGAGGCAGTATGACCTCTGAAACGTTGGCTAACATCGACCAGACTACACAGCGCAAGTACCAAAAGACAGAAATCTTCGACTATTCACTTCTTAAGAAGGACTTTGCTCCGTGGAGTTAGTTCGCTGTGTACCAAGTTAACTGAATCCCTCAGTAGTTTTCACGCCCATGCATATTCAAATGATTGTAATCAGCATAACAGACAATATCGAAACGTGTAAAGTCGTTCCCAGACGGAATGTGAGAGGCGATAATGCTGTGTACCAGTGCAGAACTGTGGGAGACAAAACCTTTTGTTTTGATTAACGGCGTTCTCATTTGTTCCAAATATCTGCTGGTGACAGTAATGCAACGCTACGTGTTGAAATCTGAGAAACTAGGTCTAGTTATTTCGTCTTTAAATTTATGTCCCAGGGATGTACAATTCACTCTGACGTGCGATTTTGGAGTATGACGGTGAGGGGGGGAGAAACTTGGAATGGTGTGTTAGGGACTAGAAAAAGTGAACTAAATTTCGTTACCAAAAAAATGTGAAGTGGAAACGGATTATCTCACTTCGAGGAAGGAAACTGAAAATATTGTAAAACGGTCTGAGGACAAGATTTGTTCATAACAGAGCTGAAGTGGATCTAATATGATAATGGGGGAAATGTCCGACTTATTGCACGAACTCCATAGACTATAACCCTTTTTGTGAATCTAAGCATCAGTCTTAGGTAGGAAGTCTTGATGTTTAATACTTACATCAGTTGCCTTTGTCCTGAAATTTACATTCTTTGTATTTATGCGCGTGGTGTTACCCCAAGATAAACAACAAATCAGTCACTGACTTGACCATCATCACTCATTTTTGTCAATGATGAAACAGTTCGGTTGTTAAACGCCGGTCTGCCAAATCTCAACTGCAGTTGTAATTCATCTTTCTGACAACCCAAACTTCAGTGAATGAAAGTAGGGGAGTAAGTCAAAAAAGAATACTTAAATACGCAACAGAGAGAATTCCTTAGGTAAGAAAAGTTGTGGGAAGAAGTAAAGATACAAACGTCTGTCTCCAGTAAGATTGCATTTGATACTACGTAAATACAATACAATAAAATTTGACATTTGATATTTAACCGTGGCGGCCCAATTAATCCTGTGCAGTCACTTCGACGCGAAGCAACGTATGAATGCCTTTATGTAAAGTGCCCATTAGTAGTGTCCCGGAGTTATTAAATCGATATGTATCGACAAATTTAAGTAGAACTCTCCAATATGAAGTTTCGTGAGTATCAATTGGCCATTTTCGTGTTTTTTCCCTGTATACGAAGAGGCAGACAGACAGATGGGTCGGAATGTTTTAATAGGCGTTAGCGAACACGCCAAAGACACTCATAACAGCGGAATATTTGCTGTGTTGTCTCCAATTAAATCCACTATTCCGCCAGAGTAACAATGAATATTGAATATTTTCAAACAACGTTTCATCAAAACCTTGAAGTAAGTGGTAAGTCCTCTGATGAGATGTCACCAGCAAAGAAAGTTCTTTGACGAACTGTTAAGATCCACCGAACCCTTTTTAGTTGTGAATTAAGTTCATTAACTATATCTGGGCCGGAAACAACTGAATGTGATGATCGCCCTGATGATGGAAACAGCAAGGACTTCTGAAACGTTGGTAAACTTCTATCAGACTACATGGCGCAACAACCCAGAGGTCTTAGGCTCACTTTCTAGAGAATAAAATAGCATAAACACTTAGTCTATACTTCAAGGAATATTTAGACGTCTGTGTTCCTATCAACACTTAATTATTCCGGGATTCTCTAAGACCAACAAAGAAAAACATAATTACGGAATTTTCTTTGTGTTTGATTTCGCTTGATTCTGACTCCACGCAGAAGAGTATCTTCTGAGAAACTCATAGTCGCTTGTATAGTAAAAGAGTCATGTATTTTTTCATGGAATCAGAAGGTTTGTTGCATTATATACTGTGTGTACCTTGTATACAAGAATCCAGTAAACTGAGAGGTGCTAAGTTGGATTTGACGTCCACTAGCATGACGTTCATACCAAATTTACTGTAAATATTCAGTTTGTTACAAAGTTGACGGGCACGCAGTAATCCGACAAGTCTTCGTTCTTTTCTTTGTGGAAGTCAAGCTGACAAAGGAATGTCAACATAACAAAGTCTCTTGACAAAAGTCTGGATAGTAAGAAGTAGGCTCACTGGGTGTCCTTGTTAATAATATCGAGAAACCGATTTAAAAATCTTGGTCTTGAGAGGACGTACATATTGAATTATATAAAGTGCATTTTCTTATTAACTCGTCACACTTTTCAACAAGGTTATATCTGTTTTGTGCCGTTTTACCAAAAAATATAACTTCTGTGTCGTAATCCAGAATATTTTTCACCATCTTTCGCAAGAGGTAACAAAGCAAAAGCACTGGCTTATGGACGCTGCGTGTGGGTGTAGGCGTCGTGTGTGTTTGTCCAGGGAATTTAATATGGTGTTGAGTATAAAAGGATCTGCGAGCACTGAGTGCACTTTGTGACGCGGAATTCCAAATTTCTTTGCGGATCGTATGTAAATATAAAGACTGCTTTGTTTTCATGAGAATGAAATTTTGAAATACCGTCCGTAAATTTGCAATTTTTTTTCTTCATAGATCGGGGTGTGGAAGTCATGGGAGAAGGAGGGTCTGGATATAAAGGACATCGTGTGGCCAGGAAACACACACACGCCTCCCCAGGGAGTGCCAGAGAAGTTCCATCTCAAAATCACCTTCCTGGAGGAGCCTCCCTACATCAACCTTGCGCCACCGGACCCTGTCACTGGAAAATGCAGTATGAATCGCGGCGTACTCTGCCGTGTAGCCAATGAGACGCAGATGGATGGGTGAGTCCACGAGCTCAATATTATCTTTATAAGTAGTCCTACTTCAGTGTTCAGAAGGCATAGCACGGAACTCCAACTTTGAGTCACTTTATTTTGTGAAATAAACTGTGTTTGTTTTCAGTCGTGACTTTATGGGCTGTTACGCCGTATGATCCTATAGGTTGCTACAAACGACATCAAAAGTTTGTACCATGTGCCAGACCACTCTTCATCACAGCACAGAAGGCCATTATCCATTTGTTTACCACCGATGAAACGTCAGAACTACGTACGTTGTTACAGTAGAATGGCCAGAGCTTAACAAACCCAGTTCTCTTCTCATCTATATCAAACGAAAAATTGTAGCCGACTAGCAAATTCTTTGACAGTTTTCATTAATATTTTTCCTGCTGTATTTTTTTCGTTTCTCCGCAGATATCGAATGGTAAATTAGTAACGGCTGTAGATGACGGCATTTGTTAACGCGACATTGACGTAGTTGAATTCGGGATACACGAAAAATATCAGACGAAAATACAATTTGCTGGGTGTTTTGTATTCATCAACGTTGTGTACGAGAGACAATGCCTTTCAGATTCGTACCGAAGCAGAAACCACATGTTAGCAAACGTGTCTTCTGTACGCTGTTGTTTATGTAGAAAATTTATCTTTAGAATTAGCATTTCTCTCTGTTTTGGCCAGCGATTACTTCACGTGAGCGCAGTTTTTCATTACGCGAGCTTTTATTTAGTACAGCGATGTCCTTCTGATCCAAATGACCTTACAGCATACAGGGCATAAAAAGAGGACATTAAATCCGTTTTTCTTGCCCACAAATTCTATCAAGCATGGACAACCAGTGTGTGTTTATATGACTTTATTTGAGTTGTATATTTGTTTGTGGTTGTATCCCTTGTGGCTTGATTCGGTTGAGTTTTTGGCTGTGTTTTTTAATACGTGTAGGTTAAGAGGGATGCCATTCAGTGTTTATGTTCGTTGATGTTTCGATAATTACATTGTCTTTCTCCTTTGGTTTGGTTACTAATTTCGTACTCTACAGGTTTTATTTCTTTCGAGCCAGATTTATTACACTTTTTGTGTTGTATTGTAACGTCTTCAAATAAGTCTGAATGAGAAATCGTTTAAATGTTCGTAAAATAGTTACGTACATAAGTAATGATATTAAATTAAACAAATCTAGGCCAAATTCTAGAGTGTAAGAAATAAGTGAAGTACACCCGCTATAAACTCTGCGAATCTGAAGAATCATTTGAATGCTGAAATTCTTAATAATGAATTTGTTTCGTAATAGAGACTACTCATTTATAGATGTGTATCTTGTCGTCATAGCCAGTGAAGACAAGTATTGTCAATTCGTATAGTAATATCGTAATAAATTAAAAGAATAGGGGCTGATTGAATTGTCCTGTAATAAGGAAAATAGAACAGAAAAAATTAACTAAATGAAGCTAATAACTGCATAAGTTTGTAAACCGCCAAGTCTCAGCGCCATTAAAAATAATATCTCCACTGTTTTGTTTCAACTTAATACCCTATACACACATTAAAGAGATTGCAGTTGTGGGTAGATATAAGAGAGTAGATTTCCACGGAATTTCAAGGAACTCGTGTCTGTATTAACCTGGTAAATAAGCAGATATCTGGGTTATGAAAGTAGTAATACAGTCTTCCTTTTATTACGCTTTATAAAATGGAATCGGCCCTGGTTCTCAAACGCTAGCAAAGAAACATGATATTTTATAGCGACGTCATTCCAAATGCTTTTGCAAGTAGTTTTCACGTTATAATTGCTGACATTTATCTTGAAGTTTATCGGGAGAAGACAGATAATAAACATTCACAGCGTCAAATAAGCTCCGAAATTCGTATCACCGAAGGAAGAAGTTCTTCGCTTGAATATTCCTAAAACCTGTTTGTGCATGCGCTGCAGTGTTCACTGGAATATTGGTGCAGAATATTTACAAATTAAGAGCGACTGATATGCACAGAACGTATAGGGGTTGAATTAAAGCTCTGTGCGTTTCTGAACCATGCCACTTCACACGTAGGCCGCCTTTAACCGCATGCGAAACGTTTTATTTTCTCAGCGGATAGGATTTGCATAGCTCCCATAGGCCCATAGCCGATGTAGTGGAAATGTTTGAAGACAGCTCCAATTATCTTTACATGGTGTCAGATTCGTAACATTTATGCCCAGGTGTTCTCTAAGTAATTAACCAATCATAAATAAAAACTGTGCAGTTATCTTCTGAAGTTCAGATTAAAATCTGGGTTTACGTCCACAGAAACGACTACTTAGGAGTCACTTCAATCGATTCATAATAAAACATTACCCAGTTTGAAGACGATAACTGGATTCTTAAAAGAAGTGCCTTTAAATGTGAATCAATAAGTGGGGGGTGCTCTGGGTCGTTGCACAGAAAATAATTTTGGCCGTGTGGGAACGTTTCGGAGGAACATACTGCTTCCGTCATCAGGACTAATAATAACTAACTAGATGGCTTACCGAACCCGAAGGTTCATCACCGAATTAACCAAAGCCCTCCACCGGACCCTGTCCTGGCCAACAAAATCCAGTTTCCTTCAACTCCTATCTCCCATAGATCCCGCCTGACATTATCCTCCCATCTACGTCTAGGTCTCCCCAGCGGTCTCTTCCCCTCAGGCTTCCCAAATAGTGGACCCAACCAACCAGATGGCTTACAGAACCCGAAGGTTCATCACCGAATTAACCAAAGCCCTCCACTGGTCCCTGTCCTGGGCCAACAAAATCCAGTCTCCTTCAACTCCCATCTCCCACCACGCCTCATCGTCTTCCCTCTTAGGCCCAAATATCCTCCTCAACACCCTGTTCTCAAACACCTGCAATCTGTGTTCCTCCAGGGCTAATAATAGTAATATTAAAAAGGTGTGAGATAATCTGAGATAATATACACCTAACTACAGTTTCAATAAATTAAGTTTCTTATACTTATAAGTAATTGTAAAGAGCAGTAATGTCGATTTTGTAGCTGGTATACTCTACACGCCTCCATGAATATCGACTGAAACTCGCATCTGGCTCCCATTTCGTGTTTAAGTCTACCTACAGCAGAGAACTTCTCGGGTGCCATCCGGGGTCCGCACGAATTTCCTGTTCTACAAAATGTCTCGCTCTTTGTTTCTTTGCCTTTTACACGCTTGTTCTTTTCCGCTGCGGCGAATAAAAGAAATTTAATTTCGGAACTCTTGTTGCTGACGTAGTCTCTTGCCGACCAAGACGAGCCACTTGAGCGCAAGAGCGATTTAAAAATTGAATTTTTCAGCTGGAGAATATAACACCAGTAAACTAAAGCGTAATTGCATTTCAACACGAACGGTATGAAGTACACAGCTAATATAATAACTTACGAAGAAGTGTGTTCGTATCGAATTCAGACATTTCCCATTTTATTCTTATTAAGACCGATTACACTACACGAATTTTGTAACCGTTTCTTTCCTGGAAAACGCTATGTAACGCGGAATCTCAGAAATCGAAGACGTTTTTACCTTATCGAGGACATCATCCCAGAAACGCAAATCAGTATATTTGCATAATCGGAGATATTTGGTCTGAAAATATAAAGAAGTGTGATGCATGTTATGCAAGAAGGACGTAAAGGTGCTGCTGCTCTATGCAGACGTGCGGTTACATTTGGGCGTATGAAGACTGATAATGCGCAAGTTTCAAATGGGCGTACGAATGTAGCCTCCAGCAAACCAGCCATTTTGTTGATACGCACTTATGGCATGATACTTCGATATTCTGAGTGACCAAAATGGAGTCTACGCTTCTGGAAAACCTGGTCGTGGGATGAAGATATTAAAATTGGATGATGCTCATAGGGTGTAATGATGTGGACTCAATTCATCTGGCTCAGGATAGGGTTCCTTCGCGAGCCTCTACTCGACCTTTCGGTTCATTAACAGACGTGTAATTTCTTGAACTGCTGAAAGACTGATTATCTTCGGAAGAACGGCTCTACTCCGTGGAGTTACTTGAGAAGTGTAGTATCTCTATTGATGAATGTAGTTGTATCTGACTAAATTCTGTTGGTACTTTGTGAATTCAGTTTACATAACCTTGTAGAAGATTGTCTTGAAATGTAATAATATGGGAGGACATGTTCTGCAGACAGTGTCACACTCTAAAGCTATTAAGGCCAGTATCAAATTAATGTACGACGAAGAGTTGCCATCAAGGCATATGAGGGATGCAGAGCCAAGGTGAACGTATTCAGAAACTCTGTGTACTCTAAAGGCAACCTTCCCATTTTCGTGTTCTATTGAACAAACGATACAGAACTCAAGAGTCCTCCTTAGGAATATAAGTCACATATCCAGTCAGTAAATTCCATTTACTTTCATAGAAACAAATACGTATTACTATTTTGCAAGATAAATTTTAATATTATCCTCACATCGACGCTTCGGACTCCGAAATGGTCCCCACACTTCAGGTTTTCCGAATTAAATTCTGTTGATATTCGCCTCTTTCTCTTACGTTCTACATGCAGCGCCCATCATTCAAATTGATTTGATTAACCTCATAGTAATCAGTGAAGAACACAAATTAAGCGACTTCTTCATTATGCTGATTTTTTTTTATTTTCCTGTTACATTTTCCATTATAGGTTCACCCTGTGTGAAATGTTTGATTAGAAATTATTGTTAAACGTGCACGGTTTTTGCAACAAAGTTCTTTATTCTCAAGGAATTTGTTGTTCTGTGTAATAATTAATTCAGTTTCTTAAACAAAGAAGTAACAAAAGTAATTACTTTGTAAATGGAAGTAAAAATTCTGTTTGTGTACAAATCCGGTGTAATCCTCGTCAGTCAGAACGTTAGACGGTGAATTCATGGAACTTAAGCCGTTGTATCGCTGAGGCATGGCATTACGTTCAGTAGTCACGGGCAAAGCAGCAAGTCATCGGGTTTTATCACCAGCTGTGAGTGTACGTCTTATCTGTGGAACACTC